CCGGGAGGCACAGTCAGGGCACGTCCCCGGGCATCCCCAGCCGGGAGCGTGCCCGAGGCGGCCGTCGGGCTTCTCGGCAGGGGCGGTTCTGTCTCCCTCACCCTCCCTCTCTAAAATCGGCTTAAAAAGGTCCAGTTTCGGAAGCATCTGCAAAGGAGGATTTCTGTGTAATGCCAAGGGAACGGCGTCGGCATCTGCCACAGTGGTTCATGCCGAAGTTCTCAAACTTACCCTTTCGTTCCCTGAACCTGAGAAACATCATTACTTTAAAGTTACAGCTGATTCCTCCCTTACCCAGAGGCCCCTGGGCCTGTCTCTGTGGCTGTTTTCTTTCGATGTTGGGATGTGTTTCCTCTTGTTGGGCCCGTTTCTTTTATTTGTTTGTTTGTTTTGTTTCATTTTGGGCATCATATATGAAAACATCTAGAAGTAATTGAATGCTCTGGTTTATGGCATTTTCCTCCAGGAATAACTTCTAGTTGCCTCGAGTAGCCAGCCGGGTTGGAAATACGAGATTCTGGAACACTGTGATCCGAGTCAGGGTGCACACGATTCCAGCCTGGGTTTGAGTCTGTGAGAGCTGGTCGGTTTCTTGTTCCCTCTTTAAAAATGTTTTTACTTACTCATTTTTAGGGAGAGAGAGAGGCAGGGAAAGAGAGAGAGAAACCAATTTGCTGCTCCACTTAGTGATGCATTCATTGGTTGACTGGGGATCGAACCCACAACCTTGGGGTGAGGGGGTGCCGCTATCCGGCGGGGGTTCTTGTTCACTCTTAATTCTCAGTGTGTAGGCATTCCTGGCACCAACCCCGAGCCTGGGGGTGAGGCACCTGCACCTCCTTTCTGAGGGCGGCCCCTGAGCTCCGTTCTCTCTTGGTTCCTTGAGTTGATTGTAAACTCTGTTGAGCTGCTCAGCCTGTCAGCTGCTTTTATGGAATCAGAAGATGCCTCCAGGGAGCAACGGAAAACCGCTAACCCTCTGAATTTCCTTCTTTCCCATCCTGGCCCTTAATATTTCACCGTTTTTTTTTTTTTTTTTTTTTTTGCCCTGGCTGGTGTGGCTCAGTGGATAGAGCGTCGGCCTGCGGACTGAAGGGTCCTGGGTTCAATTCCAGCCAAGGGCACATGCCCAGTTTCGGGCTTGGTCCCCAGGGGTGGGGTGTGCAGGAGGCAGCCAATCAATGTTTCTCTCTCATCATTGATGTTTCTAGCTCTCTCTCCCTCTCCCTTCCTCTCTGAAATCAATAAAAGAAATATATATTTTTAAACAAAGAAAGCTATGCCAGAGCGTGTCTTACCATCTAAAACCCAAAAACGCTTTCTTATAAAAATTTTTTTCACCATTTTATTAGCTCTCTGATGCCTTTAACAACATGCTCTTACATTTCGCCCATTTTTTTTTAGTTATTCTTAGTGGGAGCATTGGTTAGCATGTGTCTACCTGGTCTTCCATGATCAGAATTAAAGTTCCTTAGGTGATGACTTCCTCAGGCACTAAGCGGATGCTGTGGAATTAAAAGTAGGGTCTGGTCCCAGATCCCGGATTCTGGGGTCAGGAACGTGCTTACACAGGAGGAGGTCCGGGCTCCTCGGGGCTCTAGCTCCAGTGGGGACAGTGCGGACGGAGCGCCCGAGGCCCTTTCTGTAGGCTTACTCATGACTTTCCATTCCCTGGGCCTTGGCGTGCTGGCCTGCTCTCAGGTGTAAGAGTCTGAGGACCACGGAGACGGCCATGTGGTCCAGCCAAGCCCTTTAATTATTTGGTCAGTGTCTGGCGGGAATGCTGGGGTGAAGGTGTGGCTGAGTGAGTGTGCTTATAACACATGTGGACATCCAAACCCCTCCCCCCATCGCTCTGTCTCAATGGCCTCATTTTAACAGATCTGTTTGTATCAATATCCCATCTCCTAATCTCCTCCAAATTCTCTTTGACCTTCCTCAGCCCACCCAGACAGGCTGGTTTTCCTGCCCCATTGGCGATGCCGTGCAACTCTCCTGCCCCAAATGACCACAGGGTCAGCCCCTTCTCTCCCTGCCACGCTGGCTGCTCTGTGAGGGCAGGGGCACCATCCTGTGCAACAGCTCCCACCCCAAACCAGGCAGGAGGCCTGGGAGGGAGGGACCGGGCAGGAGGTGCTGGGAGGGACCAGGCAATGTATTTTTCTTCTTGCCTTTCAATTGTGTTTCTACAGAGCAATACTGTGGAGACCTTCTAGTGACTGAAAACCTGGCAAACATGAATAAAGAATGACCAGTTTGTTGTGCCAAGTTCTCCAGGGTGGGTAGGAGCCCAGCTCTATGGGAGGGCAGAGGAGGGCGTTGGGAATTCAGTATGGAGTGTTCCTCTTACTTGGTCTGACCATCTGCCCAAGATGGTCACCTCAGTGCTGCAGGGGGATGTCACATCAGATAGGATGTTTATTTAGAGTGTTGTAGTTAAGAATTCACCCTCCAGCCCTAGCTGGTTTTGCTCAGTGGATAGAGCGTTGGCCTGCAGAAGGGTCCCAGGTTCTATTCGGGTTGTGGGCTCAGTCCCCAGTAGGGGGAGTGCAAGAGGCAGCCAATCAATGATTCTCTCTCATCACTGATGTTTCTATTTCTCTTTCCCTCTCCCTTCCTCTCTGAAATCAATAAAAAAAATCTAGCCCTATCAGTTTGGCTCACTGGATAGAGCGTTGGTCTGGGGACTGAAGGGTCCCAGGTTCGATTCCGGTCAAGGGCATGTACCTTGGTTGCAGGCACATCCCCAGTAGGGGGTGTGCGGGAGGCAGCTGATCAATGCTTCTCTCTCATCGATGTTTCTAACTCTCTATCCCTCTCCCTTCCTCTCTGTAAAAAAGCAAAGAAATATATTTCAAAAAATCTATAATAATAAAAGCATAATATGCTAATTAGACCAGATGACCTTCCGGATGAAGCTGGGGCTGTGAGGGAAGCCGGTCAGCGGCGGGGAGGGGGGAAGGAGGGCCTACTCTTGCATGAATGTTGTGCATCGGGCCTCTAATAAATAAATAAAAGGATTCAGCCCTCGCTGGTTTGGCTCAGTGGATAGGTTCGATTCCGGTCCAGGGCACATGCCTGGGTTGCAGGCTCCATCCCCAGTAGCGGGCGGGCAGAAGGCAGACAATCAATGATTCTCTCTCATCACTGATGTTTCTATTTCTCTCTCCCTTCCTCTCTGAAATCAATAAAAATATATTAAAATTCACCTTCTAAAGCCAAATTGACTGGGTTGCAAGCTCATTTTTCTCACTGAATAATTAGGGGTCGTGACATTTAGGTTCTTTCTAAATCTGTTTCCTCGCTAGTAAGATGGGGATGAGGACCTTGTAGGGCCACTGTGAAGTGCAATGGTTAACACATGTAGAGAGTTTACCACCTGCCTGCACCATGGTGAGAACTCGAAATGTTCACTCTCATGAGGGGCTGTTGGCGCCTTCCGAGCTCGGGGAGGAGGGGCGCCAATGAGGATGTGTGCTCTCAGGTTCAGGCTCGGGGGGGCCCCTCGTAGCTCAAGGGAAGTCGCGTCCAGCTGCCCCCATGCTGAGCCTGGCGCCCTTCCTGCCCGCAGCCACTTCCTCTTGCCCAGTACCCCTGTCTCCGGATGGACCTGTGGTGAGACCTTCGGGCACGGCTTTCTGCTTAGGGCCCGGCCACACCCCGACAGCGGTGAGGTCTTTTGACTGGAAGGTACAGCGGTTCTCAAACCCAAGCCCTCGTGTGCTGTTCACTTGGAAGAATGATTCGAGGCTGCATCATGCGCATCGGAATGCCAGTGACTACAATAGGCTCAATTTTAGCATCAAGGAGTTAAGGCTCCTCCTCACGGCCGCTCAGCCCGACGACAGCGGCACCTACTCCTTGGAGGTCACCCTTGAGAACGGCACCGTCAGGACCCACCGCTTCCACGTGTCCGTGTTGGGTGAGTGCCCCTCCCGGCGCGCGGGCTGGTGCTTGAAGCGCCTTCCTGATCAGAACCTCTGCTTCCAGACCCTGTGGGGAAGCCCGAGCTGCAGCTGCTGGAGCAGACGGCGGCCCTGGGCAGTGGGAAGTGCCGAGTGACCCTGAACTGCTCGGCCTCCGGAGGTGGTGATGTGACCTACACCTGGTACCGCGGGGGCGAGTGGATCCCGACGCCCAGGAGCCCCTTCCGACTGGAGGAGCAGATCGATGCCAACGGCTGGCACATATACACCTGCAACGTCAGCAACCCCGTCAGCTGGGCGCACCAGAGCCTCCAGCTCAGCCAGGGCTGTGGGAGCGCCCCCCAGAGTGAGTGCAGTGCTTGGGGCTGGGACAGGGCGGAGGGTGCTGGGCCATCACCAGGCTCAGGAGCAGGAGACGGGAGGACACCCCTGGGCTTAGAGCCCTTCCCCAGGGTCCTGGCCTCTAGGCACACAGGTCCTGGGCAGCCAGGCCGGTCTGAGGCTGGGAGGAATTTTGTCCCCATCAAGAACCTCCTGGAAGACAGCATCTTCCTTCCATAGGAAATGCCTCGTTGTCTGGTGAGTGACAGCCCAGCCTGGCTGTGAGTTGTTTTCTTCTGAGGCTGTCCGGAACCTGCTTCCTCCTCTCAGGGGGCACCTCCCCAAGCCCTGTGGTCCCAGAGCAGCCTTGGGTCGTGGCAGCATCAGACGGGCACCTGGCAGAGGCACTGCTCATTGCTGTGCTTCTCCGAGAGTTACCCGGAGCCCACTTTGCACCACTTTTTCTTTGATAAAGAAGACCTAGTGTGTGTCAGCATGGGCAGCAACCGCCTGCAGCCCCTGTCTTTAAAGACCTTATAGCCAAATAGGGACAACAAAATAAGCTCTCACAGCAAAGGGAAACAAGCAACTGAAGCACGGGGCCGGGGCTCTTGTTCCGGCATCTAGAAGGTTCAGCAATGTGGACAAGAACTCTTAATCAAGAGTCCAGAGACGAAGCATAATTTTGAAAGGCATTTGGGGGTCAGAGGAGCCCAGCTAAAGAAACTAAGATCTCCTCGTCTCAGGGCCCCATGCTAGAAGGCAGACAATCAATGATTCTCTCTCATCACTGATGTTTCTATTTCTCTCTCCCTTCCTCTCTGAAATCAATAAAAATATATTAAAATTCACCTTCTAAAGCCAAATTGACTGGGTTGCAAGCTCATTTTTCTCACTGAATAATTAGGGGTCGTGACATTTAGGTTCTTTCTAAATCTGTTTCCTCGCTAGTAAGATGGGGATGAGGACCTTGTAGGGCCACTGTGAAGTGCAATGGTTAACACATGTAGAGAGTTTACCACCTGCCTGCACCATGGTGAGAACTCGAAATGTTCACTCTCATGAGGGGCTGTTGGCGCCTTCCGAGCTCGGGGAGGAGGGGCGCCAATGAGGATGTGTGCTCTCAGGTTCAGGCTCGGGGGGGCCCCTCGTAGCTCAAGGGAAGTCGCGTCCAGCTGCCCCCATGCTGAGCCTGGCGCCCTTCCTGCCCGCAGCCACTTCCTCTTGCCCAGTACCCCTGTCTCCGGATGGACCTGTGGTGAGACCTTCGGGCACGGCTTTCTGCTTAGGGCCCGGCCACACCCCGACAGCGGTGAGGTCTTTTGACTGGAAGGTACAGCGGTTCTCAAACCCAAGCCCTCGTGTGCTGTTCACTTGGAAGAATGATTCGAGGCTGCATCATGCGCATCGGAATGCCAGTGACTACAATAGGCTCAATTTTAGCATCAAGGAGTTAAGGCTCCTCCTCACGGCCGCTCAGCCCGACGACAGCGGCACCTACTCCTTGGAGGTCACCCTTGAGAACGGCACCGTCAGGACCCACCGCTTCCACGTGTCCGTGTTGGGTGAGTGCCCCTCCCGGCGCGCGGGCTGGTGCTTGAAGCGCCTTCCTGATCAGAACCTCTGCTTCCAGACCCTGTGGGGAAGCCCGAGCTGCAGCTGCTGGAGCAGACGGCGGCCCTGGGCAGTGGGAAGTGCCGAGTGACCCTGAACTGCTCGGCCTCCGGAGGTGGTGATGTGACCTACACCTGGTACCGCGGGGGCGAGTGGATCCCGACGCCCAGGAGCCCCTTCCGACTGGAGGAGCAGATCGATGCCAACGGCTGGCACATATACACCTGCAACGTCAGCAACCCCGTCAGCTGGGCGCACCAGAGCCTCCAGCTCAGCCAGGGCTGTGGGAGCGCCCCCCAGAGTGAGTGCAGTGCTTGGGGCTGGGACAGGGCGGAGGGTGCTGGGCCATCACCAGGCTCAGGAGCAGGAGACGGGAGGACACCCCTGGGCTTAGAGCCCTTCCCCAGGGTCCTGGCCTCTAGGCACACAGGTCCTGGGCAGCCAGGCCGGTCTGAGGCTGGGAGGAATTTTGTCCCCATCAAGAACCTCCTGGAAGACAGCATCTTCCTTCCATAGGAAATGCCTCGTTGTCTGGTGAGTGACAGCCCAGCCTGGCTGTGAGTTGTTTTCTTCTGAGGCTGTCCGGAACCTGCTTCCTCCTCTCAGGGGGCACCTCCCCAAGCCCTGTGGTCCCAGAGCAGCCTTGGGTCGTGGCAGCATCAGACGGGCACCTGGCAGAGGCACTGCTCATTGCTGTGCTTCTCCGAGAGTTACCCGGAGCCCACTTTGCACCACTTTTTCTTTGATAAAGAAGACCTAGTGTGTGTCAGCATGGGCAGCAACCGCCTGCAGCCCCTGTCTTTAAAGACCTTATAGCCAAATAGGGACAACAAAATAAGCTCTCACAGCAAAGGGAAACAAGCAACTGAAGCACGGGGCCGGGGCTCTTGTTCCGGCATCTAGAAGGTTCAGCAATGTGGACAAGAACTCTTAATCAAGAGTCCAGAGACGAAGCATAATTTTGAAAGGCATTTGGGGGTCAGAGGAGCCCAGCTAAAGAAACTAAGATCTCCTCGTCTCAGGGCCCCATGCTTTTTTAAAAAAATATATATTTTATTGATTTTTTACAGAGAGGAATGGAGAGAGATAGCGAGTTAGAAACATTGATCAGCTGCCTCCTGCACACCTCCTACTGGGGATGTGCCCGCAACCCAGGTACATGCCCCTGACCGGAATCGAACCTGGGACCTTTCAGTCCGCAGGCTGATGCTCTATCCACTGAGCCAAACCGGTTTCGGTGGGCCCCATGCTTTTTATTAACACAAATTGTCCTGAGGTGAGGCAGAGATATACACTTCAAAGGGTCAGGGTTTCATATACAGAGTCCATTGTCAGATTGGAAGAATCGCCTAAGGCTGTTCAGGTGTTTGGCCAATAGGAGGCAATAACATGTAGATTAAGATGCCCTGAGCTGTCTGGCAGCAAACAATCAATTTAATGCATCCTTTTCAGGTTTGGGGAAATGCCCTCACCACTCCGGGTGATTCAGCCCTGCTGTCATGCTGGAATTGGCTTCCGGCAGGCAGCGTGTGGTGTGGCGTCAGCCAGGCCGGGTCACTCACAAGCTCTGTGACCTCAGGCAGGTCATCACCTCTCTGAGTTGCACACAGTCTCCCGGGCACAATGGGAAGCTCCTACTAAACACCTGACAGAGCTGCTGCTCAGGGAAGTGGGGTGATGTCTGCGAGGAGCCTCGCCAGCAGCATCTGGGGCACTTCCCTGCTTTCCCTGCGCTGCTCGCTCGCGGCACTTACCTCGTCTGCGGCTGCGGCTGCGGCTGCGGCTGCGGCTGCGTGTGTGACAGGCCCTGACGCAGAAGTCCACGCAGGAAGGGCAGAGGTCGCAGAAGGCGGGACGGAGGTGGCCTGGCCCAGAGCAGACATGTTTGTTGAGTTAAAACAAAGGAATGTTCCTGTGTAACAGTTACTGAGCTTGGCATCTGTCAGATGCTATTAACTTGCTGTGTGGATACACTGACTCCTTCCTGAAAGTGAGAAAACAGGCCCAGAGAGGCTAAGGAGCTTGCCAAGGGCACAGAGCGTAGTGTTCGCATCTGGTCCTACGTCCCCTGCTCTTAGTGTCACTGGGCGGCCTTCCAGTTGAGCAGGGAGACACCTGTGACCTGAATGCACAGGGTGTGAGAGCAGCCAACCCAGCGAGTGGGGGTGGAGCAGCCACTGCAGCAGGCGGGCAGGGAGGGAGAAGGTGAGTCCTCACGCCCATGTCTCGTCTCCCTCAGAGCTCGGCCTCCTGCCCCTCTTGACGATCATCGTGGTTCTCATACTCACGCTGCTTGGCACCCTCACCGGCGTCTGCGTGTGGAGAAGGGGGAGGAAGCCGGCAGGTAAGTGGCGGGTCCTAGGACACGCTGCCTGATCCGCCTCCCCGCACCGGGCTGCTCCCAGGTCTCGCTCCTGGGCCTCGATGTGCCCCGTCTGATCCCTAACGGCAGCTTCACTGGCTGGGGCTGGTTTGGGAAACTGTCAGGCGGGTGCTGCCCTGAGCTCCCTGAATCTCCTGGGACGAGCTCGAGCCATCCTCCCCTCTAGAACCTTCCTCAAGGACTCGCCACCTGGGACGAGGGTGGGATGCGGGAGCAGGCGCCTGGCCCGGTTCCGCCAGGAGGACTCTGCAGCTCTGCTCTTTGCTTCCCTCCACACAGAGCCCGGCCCAGAGGAATCGCTGACAGTTTATGAAGATGTCAACCGCCTGCCAGGCAGGAGCGGCCAGGTGTGGCCCCGAGGGCTGGGGTTCCCTCTTTCCCTCTGGAAGTGCCCTGGGAGGATGGCCCTGCTGAGCAGGGGCCAGAGAGCCCGCTGCCACCTCAGAGTGGCCTCAGGCCCCATCTCTGCCCCCCTCAGCATCCTAGCTCTGGCCCTGGGTGGAGAGAAAACTGGGTGAGACGATGAAATGAGGCCGAAGGGCATTTGGGTGCAGAACTGAACCTGCTGAGCCGGGATGGGGACCCGGGCGGAGGCTGCCTCTGCTCCCTGGTGGCCCCCTGGTGCCCTCTTTCCTGAGGCTGGGCTAAGGCTCAGGGCGGGTGCAACCTTGTCTGTTGCGTCGGACACAAATTCTCCTGCCCCTGTAAGTCCACGTTTCCTTTTGGGGGCCCTTGGTCGTTGCCCGGCGGGGAGGATGCTGGTGGGTCAGTCTTGTCCTGGCTCAGACCCTTGGGAAGAAGAGGCTGCGCCTGGCCGAGGTGCTGGGAGAGAGCAGCCCCGAGCGGTGAGCCGGGCGGCGCTCGGAGGGGCTGCAGGACAGGCTGTGGGGACAGGCCGGGACGCAGTGCTCGCTGAACTATCCGGTGGGAAAGGAGGGACAGGAAGGACCCTCCTCCCACCACCGTTCCTGGGGCTTGGCTTGGGGCAGTGAAGCAGGAAGTCATGTGTGGGGCCTCCTGCAACCACCAGAACAGAGACAGCCTCCCTCAGGCGCTGTGGGGCCTTGTCAGGGCCCCGCAGCAGAATACGGGTTGTCTGTGCCTCTCCCTTCAGAGCTGGGGCTTTGCAAGGGGGGTGTGGGGGGCCCCTCTCATTTCTGCAACAAGATGGTCAATCTTTCCATGACAATAGGCAGCTCGTGGGTGAGGAGGATGGACTGCATTTCCAGGTGAACTCCCAGTTCCATGTGCAACTGCAGCCAGAGTAGAATATGCCTTGTTTTTTTTTAAAAAAATATATTTTTATTGATTTCAGAGAGGAAGGGAGAGGGAGAGAGAGAGAGAAACATCAATGATGAGAGAGAATCATGGATTGGCTGCCTCCCGCACGCCCCACACTGGGGATCGAGCACGTGCCCTGACCGGGAATCGAACTATGACCCCCTGAGCCACGCCGGCTGGGCTGTGTCTTCTTTAATCAGAACAAAACAATCCCGGTTAACAGAGCAGGATGAATATTTCTTACAATCATAGCTGGTCCCCAACACAAGGACAGCCGATGTTTCCTGCTCCTCTCAGCTCCTCCCCTGAATGAGGAACCACCCCCCCCCGCCCCCCACCCAGAGCCCTTCCTGGTGGCAGACCCTTAGGGGAAGGGCATGAATGACCTCGGACCCCATGTGGGGGCAGGATTGAGAGGGAGACGCGCCTCTGGCCGTGAGTCTGGGTCACCCAGCAGCGCAGCCGCAGGGGGCTGGCTGGAGCCAAGGGCCCGCAGACAATAAGGCTGGATCTGGGCTGGGGCTTGAAACCCTCTAGTCTTGGAATCAGCGGCCACAGTGAGGCTCGGACCTCACTTAGTGCACTGTCTGTGCAGTCAGTCAGCGAAGGGACGTTTCTGCGCATGGCAGGCGTCCAGTGGCAGGGTCTCCCTGTGCAGCCTCTCACGGGGAGCCTCTCCCAGCTGCTGCCTGGTGGCTGCTCCCTGTGCCTCTCGTCCTGGGACTGCGGCGCTGCCGCCCAGGCTCCTGGGAGCTCCTCTCCTTCCCACCATTCTCCCCACGTGACCCAACCCTGCAAGACTGAGTTCCTGCTGATGCTGCCACCTGCCCTCCCTGTTTCTCCTGCAGGGGCGGAGGCAGCAGCAGGACTCCGCTGGGAAAGGGAACACTGTCTACTCCATGGTCCTGCCCCAGGTACCACTCTGGGTCTCGCCTCTAGTCCACACCTGTCTATGGGCTTCCTCATGCCCCCCCACCTCCAATTTCCATTCACCTCAGACCCTTGAATGGCCAGTGAGACCTCGGTGCTCTTGGAGGGAAGGCGGCTGGGCAGCTGCTGAGTTGGCTGACAGTCCCAGGCTGGGGCCTCCACAGCCTAACAGCTGAAGGTCAAGGTCGGGCAGCAGATGACCCTGACAGGGAGTTCGGCTTCTGGTTTTCTGTGTTCTTTCTTCCCTCCTCCCTGCTGCTTCCAGGAGGTGGGGCCCTTGAACTTTAAATATCTGCACTAATAAAAGACAAAGATGCTAATTGACCATACCTTCGCTACGCTCATCAGCCAATCAGAAGAGTATGCAAATTAACCCAACAAAGATGGCCGTTAAATTTGCATACTGCAGGCAGATCCCGCTGCGCTGCCCTGCCCAGGGCTGGCGGCAGCGAGATCCCAAACCG